GAGGGTTTTTTGCTGACCTCAACACCCAAAAATCACACCTATTTCCGGAGTCTGGCTTAAGTTTTTCAATTCTTGGTCTCTTAAACCTTGTTCGCGAAAGTTCAACGTGCTTCTTTGAGCGGAATAAAGGTGCCATTCGTGTGGTGAATAGCAACGTTGGGTAAAAGGGCTACCCCCTTCCCCTCAAAAAAACGAAGAGCAATCATTATGATGATATTTCTGTATCCTGTCCTTCTGAAGGAGCGCATGAATGAAGTGATAATGCTACGAGAACGTGCGGTGATAGCCGAGGAAAGGATGGAGGCGCAGCAGCGCGAGACAGCACGCCTATATGAACGCTTAGCGGAGACGGAGAAAGAAGCTTCACGTCTCTCGCGTAGCCTCTCTACGGAGCGCTTTGAGCGCGAGCGCCTCTCCACCGAACTGCGATCCGTTCCCGCCACATACCATGCCTCGGGCTATTCGTAAGTTATTCCATCTTCAAAAAGTATGACTTCACTTTATAACCTCTTGGTATCTAATGTTTTCCCCTTTTACACCTTTTTAGTGGGAGCTCGGGGCGGTACACAACGTCGCGACTTCGTTCGCCACGTCGCGAAAAGGAGGAAATTTAGAACCGGCTTTCATTCCATCATTTTCTCACGTCTTCCACTAAGCGGTCGCCCACTGCCAAACCCGCACTAAACACAAAAATTCACGCGTCTGAGAGTGTACGATTTTCTCATAGGCTTTAACCAGGTTCCAATTGTTACCGGAGTAGATGTTATCACAAAAGATAGGTCTATTACAGGCTAGATTATGTATGAATGTACGTATCAACACCCTTTTATCAGATACAAATAAAATCCAACTACGCTGTTCATTGCAAAAGTTTAATTAAGATTTATTTTGATTGTGGCTGGGTGAATTGAGTGACTACTTGAAGCCTATAAACCAGGGCTTGATTTTCTGGTACCACCATTTCAATGCTTAGGTGTAAATAGTGAAGGTATCTCAACCAAATTAGTCATGTCAATCATTGTCTTTATAGCTCAGTAGATAATAGGTACTCCTGAAAAGGTGGTGAACGAGTGAAAAAATCACGTCGCCGTGATTTTATGGCTTAACCCATTTAATGATGTTGGTAACGTGTAGCAACAAATCACTTTTGTGACCATAGGCCCTGTGGCATAGTGTTTCGAGACACGTCAATGCAATTGAAGAGAAGTGCTTAACCTCCACACACCAACATTCCACAGTCGCAGACATCCTGAGATCGGCATAACTGCTTACAGTAGGAATAACGGATGGTTGGAGGAAGTCTCGTCGCATTAGTCGTCTAGTGTAATAGTGTGCGGCCACAACCTCAACGGCACAAGAAACCAACCTTATTACCTAGGGGAAGGCTTAGCAACACTACATTCACCTACTTTGCAGATGTGCAAATTGTACTACAACCCATATGCCAACAACGGGAAATTGAAAAGCCCACTCTCATGCGTTTTATTTTTCCCAAATTCTGATCAGTCAGAAAAAAATTGCTGAAAGACTGAAAGGAGTCAAATTTAACACCATATGTCCTCGATGTATCGTTTCTCCCTACGCAGTTGGGCAAGAAATTCTGCCCCCACTTTCAAGTCGACGTTGTCAACAT